ATTGGCTATGAAACGATGCTTGTTAAGGTTGCTTAGCAACCCCAGGCGCAACCTGCCGCTGCACTCTTAAAAGCTGGCACAAAAAAAGCACAAGAGTAGCACCCAGTGCCCAAAGACGCAGCATGTGTGCGGCCCCTAATTTCCAGGGCTGGTACCTGCGGTTATTCCGCAGGCTAGTTAATAACATGTCGGGCAGGAAATCCAAAGTGTGGGATCATTTTGAGAAGGTGAAGGACGAACCCAAGGTGATATGTAAACTCATCTTCATTGGTCGACTACAAACATGACGTATCATCTGAAACATGGAAGTAGCTACATGCCCATTAGCCCACAGCGTCATTAACAGGCGGCTCGCTCAGTGTGTGACGTGCACTTGTAGATAAAATATAGGCCTATATTAATGAAGGTTCATTAGTACAGTTTGTATTTCTCTGTAATGTAGCACAGTGTTAACAATGTTACTGATACTATTCTTTCTCACACCTTCAACTCAAACCACCAATATATCATTTAATCATTACATTCATATCAGAAACATGCAGGAGACCAGTCCACTGATGGACCATGATGATGACTATTGGTCGACAGGGAAAATTCTTAGTCGGGGGCAGCCCTGGAAAAAAAGGGCAAAAATCGGAATATTTGGTGCATGTACAGGCAGCCAATAAGACGGTGAAATACTGTTTTATCTACATTGTACTGGGTGAGAGCTTCTGTCACTTTTTTATGAGTCGTCTCTGGACATTTTCACACGATTAATCTCTTTGTCTCACTGACAGCAGCTCAACGTCGATCAAAAACAGACTTACCAGCAACTGGATCAATAAGTGACTGATGTGTCAGTGTTTTCTGTTAGTGTAGAAATAAATATTAAACTGGAGACTAACAAAATAACAGAGGAAGAGCTGAGTTTGTATCAACAGAAAATTCAAACTGAAATCTGGTCAGATATAAAACAGATGAAATAAAGATCAATATCTCGAGTCTCTGTAAATAGAGGTCGCTTACTGTTGTAAAATATTCAACACACAGTCTCCTTGTTTTTATATTAGCGGCTTCATTTCACACACATTCACCCAAAATTGTTGTTTAGGTTCTTTGAAAACGTCTCCAAATGTTTCAAGATGTGTTCAGTCAGACAAAAGAAAAGTCAGACGTCACTGAAAAGGTTCATACCAATGGAATTTATTACAACTGATTGAGCTCCAAGGCACGTTACAAGATCAAATGTGTTTCATCAGTTTCATCTGTCACTACAGAAAATACTAAGGAATAAAAACAGAAAGACTGTTTATCCTGTCGCTGCCACTGAATTAAATCTTACATGTAAAAAAGAAAAACACAAAAAAAATTATTGCAGTAAGAAAATTTAAATATGAAAACTTTAAAAAAAAAAAAAATCACAAAAATCGAAGTTAAAAAGATTCTCAAAAAATCAAATAAATACTTGTATAAAAAAATAAAAAACTGTTTCTTACAGACACGATTTGATGAAGTGACGGTGTGATGATGAAGAGTGAGAGCCGTCTCACTCTCTGTACCTGTCTGCCTGTTTAAACACAACATCACTGTTCACACCTCCGTCACCTCCACCACGACACAAACACTCCGACTCTTTATTCTGAAACATCCACATGAAGAATATTTATACGTTTCACTTCCTGTGTCCAGTTTTTACTGCGGCTGCTGAGTCCGAAAAACTTCTCTCACTCCGTCAGTGGAGCCAGGAAACACAGCGACAACTTTATTTTTCTATATATTCATTTGGGTCATTTATTTTTGTTTTGTTTTTTTTTTCTGATTTTATTTCATTGCCTCCTGAAATGTTTTGTGTTTTCTTTCTATGTGAAGAATCAATGCTGAATCTGAATTTGAATCCTTTAATTGATCAGAACAAACTGGTAAACTTTCTTTATCAGCTCAATTAAAATGATATATCACTGAATTTAAATTAGTCTTTTCTTCTGAGTACTTGTTAATCTGCTTTGATGTGGAATAAAATCTGTCAGCAGAACGGAAAAGTCAACTTTGCCGCATCATCATCATCACCTTTATTAATTTGATTTGACTTCATTTTCTGGTCATTTCTCTCAAAATTATAGTTTTGTCTCATTAATAACTGCAGTCAAGCTGCAATTAATGATAATTAACAATTTATCTGCTGGTTATTTTCTCAGTGAATCATTTAGTTTGTATTAAGTCAGGAAATAGAGACAAAGGCTTGATTATAGCCACGTCTTTAAATGTCTTTTTTTGTCTAAAGAGTCAATTAATCGACTAATAAATCCATTGACTTAGAAATAAACTCTTCAGATGTTTGTTGGGTGAATTTTACAGTTTGATTTTCTAAAACACTTTGTTGAGGTCGGGATGCGGAGACAGTTCAACTGTTCCACAACCAGAAACCATGGATTACCGGAAACATTCGGAAACAAAAAGATCTACAATTAGACACATTTATATCCATCATTGAATTTAAGGACATCATAAAGAATGTGGTGACAATGACGTGCTCGTTTTTCTTAAGAGGCCACTAAGTTTGAATAGTTGTTGTTTTTTTTGTGGATTCTTGTGTTTTATGTTGTATTTGTTGCATTTTAAATGTGTTTTTATGGCTGCTGCCTCGGCCAGGTCTCTCTTGTTAAAGACATTTTCGATCTCAATGGGACCTCCTGGTTAAATAAATAAAATAAATAAATAAATAAATAAAAATGGATGAGCATAATGCATCAGCCAACAATGTAAGAAGACAAAGAGACGAAGGGATCACATTTACCCAAGTTGTACCTTGAATAATTTCCATATGACGAATAAAAACATAATTGATTAATTTAATTTAATTTCTTCAGTTATTATGAGCTGAAGTTGTTTGTGTGTGAGCAGATTGTGTTGACCTGATTCTGGATCAGTGCACTCGTCCTGTAATCAAAGTTTTCTTGTTTAAAGGTCTAGTGTGTAGGATTCACGGGGCTATACTGGCAGAAATTAAATCCAATAAGTATGTTTTCTTTAGTGTTTTATCACCTGAAAAAAAGAATTTTCTTTACCTTAGAATGAGCCGATTAAATCTACATAGGGAGCAAGTCCTCGTTTATGAAGATTACTTTGTTGCACAGCCATCTTTCGACAGTGGCCCAGAACGGATAAACCAAACACTGGCTCTAGATAGGGACATTAACGTTTTCACGTCCCCACTGTAGTTAACAGCCCCTCCACGACCAGCAGCATTGGAAAAACACTGATTTTTGTAATGTTAAACTGCTTTATTCAGTGTTTTTACCGGTTTAAATCACTGAGTCTGTCTGGAGACCTCTGGGGATAATTGAGCTCCCAGTGAAAACCTTCTGAACATCTGGATCTTGAGTTATCAGAGAAGAAAGAGGAGCACAGATTAGCAGGTGCTGGGCTAATGGCTCGTCTCCCACATGCTAAACAGCGTCAGGGAAACATTGATTTTTAACTTGAAACTGCTTTATTCAGTGTTTTAACCAGTTTTATTCACAAGGTCTGATTGTTTTAGAGAGGAAGAGACCTCTGTAGATAATTCAGCTCGTGGTAAAAACCTCGTGAACAATGAAGGAATTCTAACCAGGAGAAGTTTCAGCTGGTTGCAACATGCAGTCCTCACCACTAGATGCCACTAAATCCCCCTACATTTTACACACTGTTCCTTTAAGACAGAGGTCAACAACCTTTACTATTACAAGAGCCGTTATTGGCCAAAAAAAGACAAAAATTCTGGAGCCAAACACATGTTTAAATAAAGGTAACAGCTCGCCTCACTAGAGAGACTCTGCTACTGAAGTTCAGCAACATTTGGAGGAAAAGGCTCCAGGTCGTAGATGTAACGTTAAAACATTTTTTAATTTGATGTATAGGCTGCGGATTTTTACAGTTGAATGCAATATTCACTTTAGGCCCTCAAAAATGACAAATGAAAAGTCTGAATGTTAAAAAATAACTGTTATTCATTTCGTTATAATTTATGTCAAAGCCACAGGGAGCCAATGAAGAGGGTCTAGAGAGACACAGGTTGCCTGCCCCTGCATAAAGTCATTAAACAACAGGCTTTAACACATTTCATCTCCCTCCATGTTTAAATGTGCTGTCAGGAAATAATCCAACTGGATAAATATTAAATCACTTTATTACATTTTAATCTGAATGAATCTTCGGATCTGTGTAATGCTCTGTTTTATTTTCTGGATGTTATATTTATATGTTGCTCAGTGACCTCGGTGGAAGCTGCAGTCTGTCTACATCACTTAAAGCTTCCTGTGGAACAAAAGTCATGTTTATAATCAGTGTTTCTCTGCTGTCGGGTTTAATTTAGTTTTAGCACCTTATTGATAATCTATTTGTCCTCTTTCCTCCTGTGTGCTGCAGCTGCTGCACTAAACACTTTGTCTGTGTAAATAAAATTTGATCTTCTCACTGTGTGCCCAGTCCAGTTCATTTTCTTTGTCATTAAACATTTTTTTAATACAGTTAATTTTCAAAAGCATTTTAAAAATGTGTCCTTGTGCATGTGATAAACAAACATGAACCTTTAAAAACAGCTGCTTTAGTGTGTCTTTGTCAGAGTGTTACTGATGGTGTGAGATGTTTGCCTCGTTTTACACGTCGCTGTTTAAGTTCAGCTGTGACTGGTTTATGGTCAGCTGCTCAAAGAACAGCTAAATTTAAGTGTACACAATTTTAAAAGTTCAGATGTTCAGACTTGTTTGCTGTTACTGACTGTATAATCCTGTCCTCTCATTATTACAGACAAACGCAATCATCAGTTATGACTAACGTACGGCAGAAACACAGAGGCTCAGGAGAGGTGACCAGTCTGTCTTTACTCTGGATCAGTGGTTCTCAAATGGTGTGTCGTGGGATTCTGTGATAACCACACATTACTATTGCAATATTCAACTGAGCCTATCCAAAAAGTTATGAATTTATTTTTAATTGATTGTATCAGTATGTTGTGGCACCCATTTCCTAATAAAAAGGCAAACACTGCCTAAAAACTGTAATTTAATAGAATTAAATTTACAAAAACTTCACAGGGGGAACCTATTTGTCGTCGTTAGAGTGTGGGAATTGTCTGATCGGTGTGAGGGTTGATAACATTTAAAAGGAGAAAGCAGTGAGTGGGATGACGGATCGCTTCATTGTACAGAACAAACTACAACAAAGCACCAGCGAAGACGACATAACACTGAAAGAGACAAACAACTATCAGTAGACAGTGTCATGAAGCTACCTGTCTTATGTTTTCTTATTTTTATTGTTGTATGTCGTGATGAGAGTGATTACACTCGTTATAGAAGCTGTTGTGCACAGATATAAATACAGGTGTGCCTTGAGATTTTGGCTTGTGCACAAACATAGAAGTTAGTTATAGAAATCATAATTTATTTATAAACTGGTGAGGTCTGAATGAAGCAGGAGGAGGTTCTTCGAACACAGTGCGATGACATATTCACTCACTCTCAAATGAGGTTGGTCATTTTAGAAATGTTTTTCCTCCTAATTTCACATTTTTTATCTTCAACATTCATCTCCAGGTTTTATTTTGAATGTTCACTAAACTTCCTGTCGACATGATTAAACTATTTCTAACAGATTTTATGAAATGCATGTTGAATAATTTAGATCAAACATTAAACACTTGTCTCATGATGAATATGATTTTATAAAGTGGATCTTCTCACAGATCCAGTGTTTCTGATGTTCATGTACATTTTTCAGTTTGTGTTAACTCCTCTAATCTGCCCTTTTTAGCCTGGAGCCTCTTTAAAGGAGACTCGCTGGTTAATGGGGCTCTTTTCTTTCACTTATTAGTGAAGTATCTATTTAATTCACCTAAATTTGGTTTTATTTACAAGTAGACGAGCTGCTGGTTTTGATTTAATCATTAATGGAGCTGCAATTTGTCAAAGATCAACACATTCTTCACCAAATATCCTAAAAGTGATGATAAATCTGATAAAGCGTCACTGAGAGACATCGTTAACTCTTGATATTAAAGCAAACTTTCATTAATGAGAAAAGACTAATTTAAACTGTATCACAGTAGATTTTATATTGAAGCATTAAGGGATGAGGTTATTTCACCCATTTATGATCCTTACCTTGTCAATATTTCTGCTTCATGTTAAACTTTAAAGTCTTTCTGAGGATTGTGTTCTCCTGTTTCTGTAGTTTAATCAACACTGATCAATATCACTGATCTGCACACTCTGATCGATTCTCTCCACTGACAGTGTTGAGAGGTTTTGAGGCTCAGCAGCAGACTGACTGTTTCACATTAATGTTTTCTGTAGTGAAAGCAGAGAGGAAGAGTTTTAAGAGTGTCTTCATCATCATCACCCTCCTCCTCCTTCTCAGGGGTCTCTCTCCTTCTTTACCTTCACATCTCCGGCCAGGATGGTGGCTATCTCCCCCTGCATGAAAGCCCAGGGCACGTTGGAGCCGACCAGGGGGCACTTCTCCCCGCTGGGGCAGTACACCTCCCCGGAGGCTCCCTGGGCCTTGATGCTCTCTCTGGAGCAGGGGAAGCAGAACTTGTGGTTGGGGACGGAGGGACACTGCACAAAGTGCGTGTCTTCTAACCGTTCGTGGCAGATGGTGCAGCACAGGGGCCCGCTGTTGGCCATGGGGGAGTCGGGCACGTTCTGCGCGTGCACCTGGTCCATGCCACCTGCAGACTGCGACGTCGCGGACATTCCTAGGTCCCCGTTGCGGGACGAGAGGCGCCTCTGTCCGGACACGGAGGCGGGGGACAGCGGGCTGCTGCTGTTGTGTCTGGAGGAGGAGGTGGTGGAGTGAACCGAGTCTCTGTCCTTGTTGGGAGAGTGCGCGTTCCCGAGCGTGTCCGCCACCGACATGAGCGCGGCCATGGGGGACTGCCCATTCTGCGGGGGAGCGGCGGACTCGGGGGGCGTGGCGCGGCCGGAGGAGAGGCCGGGGTGTCCCGGGCCGAGCGGAGGTGGCGGCCCGGCGAAGGATCCCGCAGCCATGGAGAGTTTGAGGGCTTCGGTCTGACTGTTGATCCACTGCTGCCTCTGCTGCTCCTCCGTCAGCTTCAGGCCGCCCTCCGCAGAGTCCGGCTCCGGGGAGGCTTTCCTCTTCCTCACGCCGGCCCTGGAGCTGCTGCCCCCGCTGCCTGAAGCCAGAGCCCGGCCGGGGAGCACCAGGGAGGTTGGCAGCAGCGGGTAGCTGCCGTCGATAAAGGGCTGCGGCAGCATGTCTCCCCCCACACCCTCCTTAAAAAACCGCAGGGACTCCGGTAATAAATCCCCGAGCAGACGCCAGTCCCCGGAGCCGTGCTTCTTCTCATACTCCAGGTACTTAAACCCGGAGGACAGCCCTCTGCCGAAGTCCTTCATGCAGTCCTGGTACATCTGCTTTGCGACCCCCGAGGCGCTGGAGAACACGTTCCCGGAGCCGCTCGGGTACTCGATGAAGATCTTCAGCTCGTACTCCATCCCGGGTTTGGACACGGCGTCAAAGGCGAACACCCTGCCGACCAGCCCGTGGTCTTTCTTGAAGCGGACGTCAAACGGGGTGCAGCCGGACAGAGTGATGAGTGTCTCCCTCACAGTCTTCGGCTTGCTGGCCCACTCCTCCTGCCGGTTCCGGAGGCTGTCGCTCAGCTCGGCCAGAGCCTCCACGTTCCGCTGCTTCTCCTTCAGCTCCCGCTCCTGGTCCGTGCTGGACACCGAGGCGGGACGCTTCCCTCCCGGTTCAGACAGCCCCACCTGTCCGGGAAGAGACACACCGACCATGGAGCTCTGCGGGGCGGCTCTGCTCGCCATTCCGTGCGGGGCGGGTCCGTTCAGCAGCGTCTGAGGCAGCAGATTCGGCGGTACGTTCATCTGTCCCGGTGCCGACACTAGCCCGCCATGACTCCTGCTCCTCGAGTTCGGGCTCTGTCGGTTCAGCTCGGGCGGTCCGTCGTCCGGTTTGAACCCGTTGGGTCCCCCGAGTCCGTTGGGCAGCCTGCTGCTGCTGCTGTGCCCGCTGTAGTCGAACCGAGCCCGGCTATCTGCACCGAGCGAGTACCGGTCCAACCCGGGCTGCTGAGACTTCCCCGGTCCGTCTGCCTGGTGGTGGTGATGGTTCATCTGCCCCACCGGGTCTTTCCCGGTCAGTAACACCGCCTGGCTCTTCGCCACGGCGGGCTGCTGCTGCGGTGGAGGAGGCGGTCCGCCGGCCGAGGATCTGCCCTCCTGGAAGCCGTGAGCCCGCTTCAGGTGGCGGGCTGTCTCGATGACGAACTCGATCCGGTCCGCGCCCTCGTAGTTGACGCAGCCCCGGCACACGGGCTCGGTAAAGTCCCAGATCATGGCCCAGGGCATGCGGGGCAGGTCGCACAGATAACATGACTGTCTGCGGGACGAGGAGACCTGCGGGGAGGACATCTTCCCTCTGCCCGTCTCCCTCCCTGCCTCCTCCGCGGAGCTGCTCGGTGCCTTCAGACAGAAATGAACCCGGAGAGGAGGACCAACGGACAGACGGACTGCAGTGACTCCTCTTCGCTCCTCTCAGGTTATTGTTCCTCCTGCTGCTGCTGGAGCTCCGTGTTGTGCTGCAGAGAGGAGGAGGAGGAGGAGGAGGAGGAGGAGAGGGGTGGTCTGCGTTTTTTTCCCTGCATGCTTCACTCCGAGAGAAGCTGAGGAATTTGGATTGTATACCCCCCCTCCCCTCCCCCTTCTCTAGGAATGCCACCTGGTAGAGTAAGTGACGTCATGCCCCCCCCCCCCACTCCTGCAGCTCCTCTGAGACTGAATTGACATGACGCCACTTGTTGCCCTCCCCTCCTCCTCCTCCTCCTCCTCCTCTAGTCTGTATCAGGAGCTGCAGTCTGTAGTCTGCACATCACATTATAGATTCAAGTAACACTGAAGAGAGGCTGCAGGTATAATAACAGCTGATCTGAGGTGGCTCTCTGGGTGAAAATGCCTTGTTGATGCCAGAGGTCAGAGTAGAATGGCCAGACTGGTTCAAGATGACAGAAAGGCAACAGGAAGTCAAATAAGCACTGGTTCCAACCAAGGTGTGCAGAAGAGCATCTCTGAAGCAACAACACCTTGTCCAACCTTGAAGCAGATGGGCTACAGCAGCAGAAGACCACACCAGGTGCCACTCCTGTCAGCTAACAACAGGAAACTGAGGCTACAATTCACACGGGTTTTCTCACCAAAACTGGACAATAGAAGATTGGAAAAACCACATTCAGATGGAAGCATGGATCCATCCTGCCTTGTATCAACGCTTCAGGCTGCTGCTGGTGGTGTAATGGTGTGGGGGAGATTTTCTTAGTACCAACTGAGCATGGTTTAAACACCACAGCCTACCTGAGTATTGTTGCTGAGCGTGTCCATCCCTTTATGACCACAGTGTACCCATCTTCTGATGGCTACTTCCAGCAGGATAACGCACCATGTCACAAAGCTCACATCATCTCAAACATGACAATGAGTTCACTGTACTCCAATGGCCTCCACAGTCACCAGATCTCAGTCCAATAGAGCACCTTTGGGATGTGCTGGAACGGGAGATTCTCATCATGGATGTGCAGCCAACAAATCTGCAGCAACTGTGATGTCATCACATCAATATGGACCAACATCTCTGAGGAATGTTTCCAGCACCTTATTGAATCTATGACACCAAGAATTAAAAAGGAGAGTGTACCTAATAAAGTGGCCAGTGAGTGTATGTTATACTGTACCATATTGAAAAAAAAAAACACATCTGCGTGTGTTGCTAGGCAGGTTTCACCTCTCTGTGTCAGTGTGCAGTGAGCCTTGATCTCTCAGTATGCTTGTTTCCTCCTCTCTGTTCCTCCTCTCTGTTCCTCCTCTCTGTTCCTCAGCTGTTCTGAGATCAATCGGTTTTACTGATCAGCTGGACAGAATAATGTGAACACCTGCAGAGCTGAAACCGTCGACGGATCGCTCTCTGCTGATTCTGACAAACTGAGACTGACATTTGTTTTGTTTCTGTGCGTAAGTATCAGTTATTAAACAGAGTCCAGACAGGACGGGGTTAACTACTGATTCTGGCTCCTCGCCATACTGAGGCATTCTGGGAAAAATATAAATATCGAAGATATCAACGAGCCGACATCAAAACCTGCACACACACACATACACACTCAAACACACAGAGATTAGCTCCAGTGTGCCTCTGATGGATACCGTCTGTGTTGCCATGGAAACGCGCCCGGCGACCGTGCTGTGAGGAGGAGGAGGAGGAAGCTGCTGAATACATGAAGAACCGGAGCCTCGTTCGCCCCTCACTCTCGCTCTGAATGATTATGCTAATGAGCGCACACACACACACACACCCACACCCACACACACACACACACTAGGAAGTATCAGGTGTTGATTGAGAGATGGAGATCCTCAGTGTTCATGTGGCGCAACATGAGATCCACACAGCATGTACATATATAGATATATGTGTATGTATGTGTTTGTGTGTGTATAAACTGTACAGTGGTTGTGTGGTTGTGTATGTGTGTGACACATGTTGTAAGCGTGTCTGATGTTAAACAGTCTGCAGGATTCTGTCTCTGTTTAATAAAACTGTCACGCTCCAACCCACAGAGCCCACCATCCACCCCTCTACCCCCCCCTTCACCTGGTTTGCTCTGGCCATCGGTCATGGTAAGGTGTTGCCATAGCAACTGGGCCAGTCTCCACAGCGGCGGCAGCAGCTCTGGTTGCCGAGGAGCTTTGCTGCTGGTTGCTGAGGACGTCTGCTGATGGAGACAGAGGAGGACAAAGCAGAGTGAGTCAGTGAAACGCAGTGAGGACATTTAGAGACACTCTGAGCGTCTGATCCACAGACTGCACACACACAACCACACACACGTTGTACTAGGGTTGCAATGGTATGAGATTTTCACCATCTCAGAAAATATCACAGTTTCACAGTGTCACAGAATTCATATTATCAGTCAGAATGAGCCTTAAAGGAATGAAAACAGAAAGGTTATTGTTGGTTGAACAAATGTTTTCTCCATATATTATGTCATAAACTGAAGAGGTCAGAGGTCTGAGAATGGCAGTTCATCAGTAAAGTACAATCTGAAAGGTTCACCCCAGACAGTGTGCTGATGAGGGCAGCACTATCTATTGTTTTTTTATTGTGATAATAAAGGTCAACTCTTTGGCGGGATTTATACTTCAGCATCAAATCGACACCGTACCGTAGACTCTGCGTTGACGTAGAGCCTACGGCATAGCGTGACGTGCACCTCCCCAGAAAGGTAACTTCACATCACAGCGACACAGACCTCCTGTCTGTTTCTGTAAGCTGAAACCATTTCCCTCAGTGGAAACAAAGCTTTTATTTACTTTAATTTCACAGATAAGAATAAATTGTGAAGACAATAAAGCCTCCACAATAATAGCATTTTAAGTCTTGTGTGTGATTTATCCTGGCTTCATATGAGCAGAGGAAATCTCTGCTAGTCGCTAGGCTAATTTATACAATGTAAAATTCCATAGGCTTGTGCTAATAATGTTAGCATGTTGTATTTGTTTATTTAGTATAAGACAGTTGTTTTGTCAGTGAACCTTGTGAGTTGTAATGGAGCCAAATTTTGTAAAATTACTTTTGTTAAATGTTGCTGTTGTCCCTTAGCCTGAGTGTCAGACTGAAGCTCCCAGAACCTTCAGTCTGACATGGCTTCCATTGAAGGCGATTTACAAGGGGGAGGGAATTTGATTTTTTCCCTAACCAATCAGTAGAGATCAACGACTCACCCAGAATCTGACATCATTAGTATCCATGCCTCGGGGGTGCCGAAAACAAGTGAGCATTGCCCGTTTAAAATGTCTCTGTCGTCGTGCACGCCCAGCTGCATCGCCGTTAAATCCAGTTTAGCAGCTTCCTTAATTTGGTCCTCCATTAACGCGAGTAGTGGCGAAATACCTCGATAGCATCGTCAATGTGGTCTGTAGGATCTGTAGCGGTCGCCATTGTTGCTATCCTCACCAGTTACCCACCGGCGTACAGCTTGACATCAGCGTGGCGCTGATTGGCTAATCGCTAGACCCCCGGCGTTCATTGGTGTGTCCAGCGTTTGGACGAGATAAATCGCAAATTCATTGAAGTATGCCAGACCAGAGATGCAAGCCTACTCAGTTGAGTGGGCGGGGTCTATGGTCTGGAACCAGGCTAGTTGTCCCTGGCTTCATATAAGTCGAGGAAAAGTCTGCTAGCTGCTAGGCTAATTAATACAATGTAAAATGCCATAGGTTTGTGCTAAAAACATTAGCATGTTGTATTTGTGGGGAAAATGTGTCCAGATAAAGACAGGTGTTTGTCTGTGAATGCTGCGAGTTATAGTGAAGCTGATTTGTGTACTTGTGTTTGAAACTGTCTCTATTAAGCCATGTTTAATGTGTGTTTAATGTGTGTTTAGAATCAACTAAACTTTACAGCACTTCACAGAAACCCCGCCGCCGACTAGTGTTTTGGAGGTGTTACTGCAGAGTGACACAGACACACCACCGCACATGTATAAATGCTCACAACGCCCTAGGCCACGTGTGTAGGCTCTGCATAGAGCTGACACACAAGTATAAATCCAGCTTTTGACTGTAAAAATAATGGACTTAACTACCACAATGTCACCCACTGGTTTGTGGCCTGCTGTTTCGAAGACTCGAGTTCAGCATTTCAAACATTGCCATCTTGGTTTTTTAAAGTGACCATATTTGGGTAAGAGCAGGCCCTAAGGTAGTGCGCCAGTTTTTGTAGTGTCCAAACAGTGGTACTGCAATTTCTGCACAGAAATTCTGAAGTTTTGCGGTTAAAATAATGTAGTGCCAAATAAAAGGCTGTCTGACGGTGAGGTAAAGCAGTAAAAAAAATCCTCAATATAGTGTATACTTAAACTGATATTGATTTTTCTAGGTGGGACACTTTTAAGGTGGCTAAAATACATTTTGATGTCAACCCCCATTCACAGCAATGTAATGCTGAGCTCCCTGCTATTACAAACTGGGGACACGCCAACACATCTATCAGTGTGTTACCCTCAATAGATGGGTAACACACTGATAGATGTGTGGCAGATAAGGACCTCGTACAGCCCCACTTCAAAAATCCGGATCTATCACTTTAAGCACCTCACAGTCCTCTACAACCTCTGACAGAACCTCAAAGACCTCCTCCAGCACAAATGAAACCTGCTCAGGGACCTAGAAAACCTCATACAGACGTAAATGTTTATACTGTCAACACACACACACACGCACACACACACACTGTATCAGCAGTGTACCCAGGAGAGACGAGAGACTAAAAATAGCCTGCTGCTACAAACAGCCTGGTTACCATGACAACCCCGTCTCCATCCAAAGAAAAAAACACTGATCTGTTCTGCTGCATCAGTCTGGGATTGAGGTGGAGTGTTTCCATGGTAACAGCACATGTGAGCAGTGACAGCCTCCATGTGTCGGGGGAGACGCTGCTGCCACCTGCTGCTCACAACGTGTCACAACCTCTGAGATGTGAAACGCCTGCATCCGTTGACAGCGTGCTTAATGATCAGTAAACAGCTCCACAGACATCTGTCGCTGGGTCTCTGTGGTACCGAAGGAAACTTAAAAACATGGTGATTCTTTTTTCTGTGATTTCTACGTGGATTTTTGGATGTTTATTCTGGATGAACATCAGTGATAATGAGAAGTCACACTGACTTATATCAACATGTGTGTCATGTCTGTGTGTCCACGTTTCACTGAGTGATGAAGAGGAGAAGGAGGGAGAGTTTTAACCACAATAATTAACTTACCTGTTGTTGTCACACCTGTGTGCACCTGCCCTTTCACCTCACACACTATCTCTGCACCTCCTTCTCTCCTCTCAGTCTGCTCCACAATAATAGTCTTTGATAACGATCAGCTGATCCATAAACACATACTTTACATCTGTACTGAACATTAAAGACAGGAAGTATCACGTTTACCTGCAGTGTCCAGATGAGTGACCTGCAGACAGGGTGACTGACCCGAAGCTGTGAGGTCACGGGTCGCAGGGGCGTGGCCTGTCATCATCCTGAGGGCTGACTCCAGCAGCTGGCTCTGATTGGAGCAGAGGAGAGCCAATGAGCAGTCAGACAGTCAGAGTTTGGTGTGGGCTGAACAGGGGCTCATTCAAACTAGGGTTTCCAGGTTGAATGACATGTTTCCTGTGTATGGTGTGAAACAAGAGGCTCGTTCGAGATGATTCAGGCACAATGCATGCTGGTTAGTTTTGTGTGCAACTTCATCCCGACTTGCTCTGACGTCATACAAAAGTGGACAGCAATAATCTCGCAAGGTCGAGGCAGCCGCAGTTTTTAGAGCCAGGTGTTCTCCACTGACTGCAAGACCCTGAGCATGATGGGAAACGCCTGGCTCTCACCTGATCTAACAGCTGATTGGTTCAGATGTCGACTCAACAATATGATGTTTTAGATAAACTTTTATTTTTTGTTGAATTTCAGATATTTCAATTTCACACTTGGTTTGCTGAAGTAAATGTGTCTCCCATGTTAATAAAGCCCCTTTTAACTGAACTGAACTAAACCCTGCTGTACTAAAAGGTGGTGCACATGTATAACACAAACGGCTGTTGAACGCACCACCATGTCTGCTTAAATAAATGTTTTACTACTTTCTGTCGTGGCTGAACGGAGCCCAGGTGAGTGTTTACCTGCTGCTGCAGCTGCTGACTGTGCAGCGTCTCCAGGTAATGCAGCGTCTGCTGGCTCAGGCTCCGCCCCCTGTCTCCACCATCCCTGACAACAGAGCAGACAGTGATGTCACACAGTCGGGGGGTGAGTGACGGCTGTTTTGTACCAACTGATGCTCAGCAGTGTGACTGTGTGTGTTCACAGAGAACAGTTCAACTGATGATTCATCACTGCTGAGTGAACAACAGATCTGTAACTGTGTGTGTCTGACATGTTTGAAGCTACAGAGGATCCTCACAGAAATACAAGGACAATACAAGCGTGTGTGTGTGTGTGTGTGTGTGTGTGTGTGTGTGTGTACCTGTCGGCCTGCAGCAGCCTCTGAACTCCTTCAGCCAGGTGACACACTCGAGCCTCCATATCTGACTGAGCCTGCACACAAACACACACACACACACACACACACACACACACACACACACACACACACAAACACTGAGAGGTGAGTAAATACTGCATTCTGGAAGTGTTGCACGTCAGAGGGATTAAAGAGTTACTGACAGGAGACCAGATGTACCTTGATGAGAGGAGCAGCAGCAGCTACAGCTGCAGCTGCAGCAGCTGCTGCCGCTTTGGTGGCATCTCTAAGGCAACCAGAGGACAGCCCCTCCTCCATCTGGACCCCCGCCACACCCACTGCATCCTTGGAGCTGGTGCTGGGAGCAGGAGCATCCTGGGAGCTGGTCCTGAGGGGCTCTGGGTCCAACAGCTGCACTCTGACCTCCCTCCTGTGGGGGGCGCTGTGAGACCTGAGGACAGACAGCAGGTGAGTGCAGGCAGTGAAGGTCATTAAATATAAGTACAAACTTTCTGTCACTCCATGATGGACAGCCGGAGGTGTATTCACTGAGTTTATTTTCTTCAGATATTTATCATCACAACAGTTACGTCTTTAGTCCATTTTAAACGTGACTGCATGTTTCATTTCCTACAATATAAACTGAGTCCTCTCATTGTTAAACATGCTCCAGACTCCACAGACTTTTTGTGTGTTTTTAGTTTTTCTCACCGTTGTTTCAGAGCGGCGAGGACGACTCCACGACCTCCAGCAGCAAAACGGGACGTCAGAAGGTCGTCACCTGAGGGTGATGATGTCAAATATTGATACTGAATGTGTCACACTGACAGCAGATTTAGCTGCTCAAAGGCTCTGGGGCAGGAAGAGATGTCCACAGAAGATCTGACTTTATGTTTTCATCACCTTAGTTTTATTGCGTCAGTGTCATCTGATAACTTATCAATTCGGCAGTGACACTAATATACATGTATAAAAAATCAATAACAGATATTTAGAGTCTCCAAGACCAGATGATCACATTGAACACTGAACTGAACTGTGTAAAGATGTAAATCAATCAAATTCAACACAACTTTATAAAACCAGTGTGTTTCAGCTCCTCAGCAGTTAGTTTGTCCTGACAGTGATTGATTATTGATTATAAATTGATTAATAAAGCTGGTTCTTCTCTCACCAGGCTGCTGGTCGCTGTGTGTCCCAGCTGAGAGCTTCCTGTCTGGACTGGACTCTGCTGCTGGACGCTGCTGGAGGACAAAGATACTTTACATCAGATCTGACTTCTTATAATAATGTGATCAGAGTGAGTCAGTGCACATGGAACTTCTAATTATGAAGTAAATGCTGATTGCATGATGTAATGTCAAAAGAATAATGACGTCATCAGTCATCAGGCTACGAGCTCCTGGAAAAATGAGGGCTCCACGTACGACACAAACACTAAAATCAATTGGAAACATAAAGGGGAAAGAGGAAGGAGAAGGACTCACTCTTCTTCTGGGCTCTCTGTTCTCCTTGGTCAGTCCAGGTTTCCTCAGTCCGTCTGCACACAAACACACAGCAGAAGTGCAAGTGAGCAAAAATGACCGGGCCCCGAACGTTGGCCTGACCTTGGCACACATAGGGAAATAGGTCGGACCACATCAGGTCGCCTGACTCAGCTGAGATGAAAGATGCCCCAGAATCCAGCTTAATAAACTGGCTGCCATCACTGGGACATTTTCAAAAATGACTTTGCCCAGCATTGGCATGCAGGAAGAAATAAGTCAGGCTGCGTCTGACTGCCTGACTCAGCTGAGACTCAGGATGAATGACACCCAAGAACTGGGCCAAATAAACTGGCCTGATTGATCCAACTGCACATTTTAGAATATCCCTTTATTGTGACCATCCCAAAGCACACCTGTGTGGTTATGATGCTGTTTAATCAGCATTTTGATCACACCTGACAGGTGGATGGATTATCTTGGAAAAGGAGAGGTGCTCACTGACATGGATGTTAACAAATTTGCAACCAAACTTTAAAGAGAAATAAATCTGTCGAGTGAATTAAAAAGTCTCAGATCTTTAACTTAAACCTGTAAAGAAAATAGGAGCAAAAACAAAAGTGTTGTGTTTAAATTTTTGTTCATTGTATTAATATTTTTATTTTTGCATTTTTCCTTTTTAGATTCTCATATTTTTACTGCAGTGACTTGGAGGAAACCTGAAATCTGATACATGAATATAACACAGAAAATTTAATCTAAAATATAAATGATATTATTATATAATATAAATAATCTGTTGATGCCGACCAGACTAAAACAATTCATTATCTTGTTGTGGGTAAATCTCCGTTAACAAACAGCTCCTGTCGGTCACCGGTGGATCTTCACCACCTCCCGGAGCTCTTACCGGTCTGACCGTGTCCCACTACCCGCAGAGGAGGAGCATTCTCCGGCTTCTGTCGGGGCTTTAGCCGCTGCTGCCGCTTCTCCGACCCGGAGCTCCGCTGCTGCTGCTCGGACAGAGGAGGCTGGACGAGCGGGTCCCGCAGTTTCTGGACGGTTATGTGGACAGATCCGGATCCCGGTCCCGGTTTACCTTCATGTCCCCGATCCAGAGGAAGAACCCGAGTGGACCGGATCAAAACGTCCCCGGTGTCCGAGCTGCAGGAGGACTGATCCGGACTGGTTTCACCGGATGAACCCCGCTGTCTTTCTGAGCTGGAGGCCAGCCGGGACGACATACTGATCCATGTACTTATTAATACTTTAATTAACTTTTAACTAAAGGTGTTGTGGGCTGTCAGAGAGCTGTTAGTCGACGTGCTAACTTCAGCTAGCCGCTTTCAAACTTCCCGCTCCGGCATCATACGGGACCGAGGAGCTGCTGGACCGTTAAAACTCGGTGAAAGACGGAAGTGACGACGGAAAAGAGAAGTTTATAAAGTTAAAACATCGCGTTAGAAACAAAAAGACGCGTCAGAAAGATAAAAACACACAAACTAAACTGTCAAAGCGACCAACTCGGCAAACAGCAACTGTTGCTGACAACAAAACACTGAACTTCCGGCTTCCGGTTAGCAGCAGAGATTTTACAAAACGCAGACAGATGTCTCACTTCGACTGTAAATTCAGAAACCAAAAACGACAACATACAGTCATACAGAAGTTTATGTCAATAAAAATACAAGAGAGGTGGTGGTGGGAAGTGTTTTACTGCACTACACCTCTGAGGGAAATATAGTACTTTGTATATATAGTAAATATAGTATCATATCATCTAAGTACATCATGTGTTTTTGATGTAAAAAGTACAAGTGTCAGATAAACGTAGTGCAGTATAAAGTACCTCTTTACCTCTAAGATGGAGGAGAGTAAAAGTTTAAAGCAGCATGATATGGAAATACACAAGTAATGTACAAGTACCTTAAATTTGTACTTGAGTGAATGTAGTGACTTTCCATCACCACATACGCTTTAAAATAATTACTCCCATTTGTTTTTTATTTTTTGAGGGAGTTATTATTATTATTTAACCTTTATTTAATCAGAAAAACCTTGAGATTAAATGTAAATGTAAAATGTAAATGTACTTTATTTATACAGCCCTTTACAACAACCCACAGGTGAACTCTCTTTTTCAAGAGTGTCCTGGCCGAGACAGGCCGCAACATAAGTTACAGACAGCCAATAGAACAAAAATACAGTATAAAAATGGGCAGCTTTAAAACAAGCAATATTAAACCCAAAATAAGATTACTACAAAGAAAAGCCCACAAGTATGTTAATATATACTTCTATATATTTATAGAGAAAGGCAAAGAAACCTTTAAATATTTACATTTATTCCTATAAAATCTAAAAAGCATATATTTATTTATTTTATTTAAATATTAAGATTATTTGTTCTAAATGAAAAACAGAACTTAGATATGACGTCACTGACTGTTAGGTGGAACTTCATGTTGTTGAGTACTTGTATCACTCCGGACGTTTCTTCACTCGCGCACAGCTTGTTTCCAAGGGGAACTTTCGTCACAATTTTTTTATAATCTTTTTTTCCTTAGAGATAAACGTAATAGTAAAGTAATAATCTGTTTTAAAGTCGCTCTTCCGGCGAATTTATTTTGCGTTTACTTTTAAAATAAAAAGATAAAATAAATAAATAGATATGCGGTACGAATGTGCGGTGTAACGTTGATTTCTGTCCGCGGTCTCTCACGTGTCCTTCAGTCCGCTGAAGGAGCTACACGTTAAACATCGTCCTCAGGTGAGATCAATTTAGTTATCCATTAATAACATCTGATCATTAATCGTATTTAAGATTTAAACACTCAGCGGCTGTTTGAGGCTGTCGGTGTGAAACTGACGGAAGACTTTGAACGTTACAACTAAATCTCACGGAAATACGAAGCTAATGCTAGCTAGCGTTAGCTGTTAGCTAACTGATCCTGCAGGGAAATAATTGAATAATTAGCTTTAATATATTAAAAGAGAATATTTTATCTGTAAGTGAGTATAAAGGGCTGATCACAGTGCAGCTGTTTTATCAGAGATCTGATCTGAACCAAACACCGTTCAGTAAATCGTCTTTTTAACCGGCAGGACGCTGCTGCACAGTGACACACCAGAATTTAAAATATCATTTATTTAAGTTTATGAATAAAGTTAAGGAAAATACCGTTAACAGTATTTATGTCTGATTGTCCTGATCAATGCTCGTGTTTATACAGGAGACGTGATCGTGGATGAGGGAGTGAATACTGTAAGTGTCACATTTTTCTAATGGAGTCTAATGGTGTGCTGTGTGTTTGTTCTTCACAGACTCTGAATCGGAATCATGGCGGTGCAGGTGACTGAATCCGATCAGATCAAACAGGTAACCGCTGTCTTTGTTTGCTTTTAACAGTTTTAATTACATATTGGTATCAAATAATGATTCAGCTGCAAAATCCACCTGAAATAAAACTGCCTCTCTCAGGATCAGAGTTAAAAAGCAGACCTTATTAAAGCTGCAAGCAACCTTGAACAGGCCCTCGCTCCTTCGCACAACCCTGCTGGCTGATACCACTGTTCATTTCTATGAAAGTCGGACCTTGCACGCAGGAGTGAGACAGTATATCCTCCACTTCCTGTTTACACATGGTGCTGAAGAACACATTGTACATCAATTGTAGACCCCACCATGTCAATTTAATGTTATTCAAAATATAAGATGCACTTCCTGTTGCCAGAAGGTGGTGCAATCACCATGACACCCAGTGTTCATGTTGATGGCTTTGGGCCTGAAGTCGTATAAGACCTGTGAAGACGAAAACTCAAGCTTTAATCAACTTTTGAAGTCAGTCAGATCAAATCTGTAGGAGGAGTTTGTTAAAGTACGACTCCTGGAAATGGCCAAAAAAAAGCACGAAAATTACACATCTAACTCAAAATGGCTGACTTCCTTGTTGTGCAAGTAAATACACTATCAGCTGCGGAGACAGAGTTGCTGTGATGACGTGTCTGGCTGTCGGGGAGGAGTGATGATACTGAGAAAGGTTTCGCTCAATGAGCTGATGTCATGTGATGTCACAACTTCTCTTGGCTGTCTGACCAATCCCCTGCCACTTTACCTCCGCTGTGACCACTCACTCTGACATGATTCTCACCAGAAAAACGAGAGTCTTAGTACTTATGATATGGTTGTGTGTTGTTGTTTCAGTTTAAGGAGTTTCTGGGGACGTACAACAAGGTGACGGAGAACTGCTTCATGGACTGTGTCAGAGACTTCACCACCAGGGAGGTGAAGCCAGAGGAGGTAAACACAGTTGTTTACTTGTTTACTTCCTGTTAACACAAACTCTTAGTCACTGCAGAGAGAAAATCAGTCAGTGTTCAGATTAATTTATTCATGTTTCAGTCACAGTTCAGGTGAAACTCCAGCTCAGATGAGCAACTGTTATTATAAGTCTTCTTGACGGTGCGTTCAAAGACACTCCGACATCTTTAGGTTGTCACAGAAGGAAAAAAAAAAAAAACATTGCGCCAGAAAACATCCCTCATATATTACAATATTCTTCCATGATGTTGTGTCTGGCTGTCGGGGAGGAGTGATGATACTGAGAAAGGTTTCGCTCAATGAGCTGATGTCATGTGATGTCACAACTTCTCTTGGCTGTCTGACCAATCCCCTGCCACTTTACCTCCGCTGTGAGCGCTCACACCAACACGATTCTCACCAGTAAAACTAGTCAGTTCGAGGAGACAGATTAATGTGTTTTAATTTGTACGCATCCTTTATTCAACTGTTTTTTTTTTCATCTAAATACTACATTACCCATGAGCCTCAGCTGCAGGCATGATCTAGAATCAGACAGGGATTTAAACTAATAACAGCTTTATCAGGTTTCTACTGAGTGGAATCTTCAGCTGAATTAACAAGTTTAATTCGGAGTTCTGTGATTTGCTGTTTGTTGGTGAAATGTACCCTGGGAGTTGCAGTTGACTTTTAAGGCAGCAGATATTTCCTAACACAGTTGCTCGTCTTTTGTTTTGGTGATTCAGCAGTTTATTTCATATAATAATTCATAATTGTTTGTGGTTTCAGTCGACCTGCTCCGAGTCGTGTCTCCAGAAGTATCTAAAGATGACTCAGCGGATCTCGATGCGGTTCCAGGAGTACCACATCCAGCAGAACGAGGCTCTGGCTGCTAAAGCCGGACTGCTGGGACAACCTCGCTGAACTGCACTGAACCGGTCTGATGTGGACTCATAACACAGCCCCTGCAGGCGGCTCCTGGTCCAACAGGTCCAGGATGTTGGCTGAGTAAAGACTGAACTGTTCATCTGTCTGAAGCCGAGCTGAAGCACTGCTCTGTCTCAGAGCATCATGGGATATGTAGTGTAAAACAGGAGGGCAGACGTGTTTAACTCGTGGACACAAACTGTTGAGGTGTCCTTTAATGTTGGTATTTAATTTTTCAGTTTTATGTTGAAATATTTTATTAAACATTGTGAACATGTTTTTTTCTTAATGTGTGGAAATAAAAAATCTAATGTCACAGTAAAAAAAAAAAATTCAGAAGTAACTACAATTATGTTTCAGCATGTTCATATGTTGTATTCTCATGAACACAATGTGTCAGAACACCTTGAGGGATTTGGCACAAACGTCCACTTGGACTCAACGACGTGATTAGAATTTGGTGCTCAAAGGTCAGTGTGACCTCACCAAACATGTTTTTTGGCCACAACTTATGAACTGAATTGAATAAGCAGGTGTCTGGAACTTGTGGAGCATCTGTGAGTGTCTTCAAGGTTTCCCAGCTTTCCTCACCGAACGTAATGCCAAGATTTTTTTTTTTTTTCAGGCTGCATTGAAGCCGAATTATATTCTGTAAGAAGACCAACAAGTGTCTTCGTTAAGTTTTCTGTGATTTCTAAGTGGATTTATAGACGTCAGAGACCACTAGAGTTGCACTTACAGTTTACGTGGATATCTGTTAAAACATGAATGCTGCACACACATCTTCCCTCAGCAGCACAAATCTATGATCTAGTTTTAAAGTGGACACCCAAGATTAGTGTCACCAATTCAGTATCTCACCAGACGTCTCCCCTTCTGTTCCTGAGGTATGACGTTGAAAACATTTACAGTCAAGTTGACCTTTGACCTTTTGGATATAAAATGTTAATCATTTGTGTGAAATGTCATAATAAGCTACGCATTCTTGACTCATGTTCAAAAACATGTTTTCCGAGGTCACAGCGACCTTTGACCACCAAATTTTAATCAGTTCATCGATGAGTCCATGGAAATTAGCAAGCCTGAAATTGTCGAATGTTTTGGCGCATGCCATTTTTTGCTTTTGTCTGTCTATACATTATTAGTATTGATCTTATGCAACATTTTAAAAAATGAGACCGCTGGTCTAAACCGGCTCAATAAAACACTGCTCTACAATGAGCAGTTTGATCCTGAAAAATTGGAGCTAAAATAGTGTTGAGTTTCTGTTTTAGTGCAGCGTAGTTTTAATTTAATTAAATCCACCAACGAGCCACTTTTTCTGAGATTTACATGTCGGAGTGTTCTGTGTTCGGTGCGATGCCTTTTGGACAGAACCAAGATAGCTGTTTCCAGTCTTAATGCTAAGCTAAGCTAAGCAGTTGCAGCTTCATGTTAATGAGACTGAAGAACCTGAGGAGGATTTTGCTGAATTAGAATTCCCACACATTCCTACCAATAAATTTTGAAAAGTTTTCCATACGTTTTGCATTTACCTATGACTTACGTAGTTGAAACAGGCAGGCCTATACAGAGACACAGCCATACATTATTAAACATGCACTTCACAGACATTTGGAAATGAGCAAACTGCTAGCTTTACTTTCTTGTTAGTCATTCCAGCCACCAACTAGTGGCATATGGCAGTAGACCAATGAGCGTTGGTTAACCTGCTACACAACAGATTTTCAACACTTTTCCATTTCTCTCCTGCATGTTTCTTTTTTGTAAAAGGGGGCGTGGCCTGGGCAATGACAGTATCATGTAATACAAGTGACATTTCAGTGTTAACGCAGCATATCACCAAATTTTAAATGAGTAATACGAGGAACATACACTCATTAACCACTTAGGTACACCTGTTCAACTGCTCGTTAACGCAAATAGGTAATCAGCCAATCATGTGGCAGCAACTCAGTGCATTTAGTCATGTAGACATGGTGAAGACGAGCTGCTGAAGTTCAAACTGAGCATCAGAATGATGAAGAAAGGTGATTTAAGTGACTTTGAACGTGGCATGGTTGTTGGTGCCAGACGGGCTGCTCTGAGTATTTCAGACACTGCTGATCTACTGGGATTTATGCGCACAACCATCTCTAGGGTTTACAGAGGATGGTCCCAAAAAGAGAAAATATCCAGTGAGCCAAAATGCCTTGTTGATGCCAGAGGTCAGAGGAGAATGGCCAGACTGGTTCAAGATGATAGAAAGGCAACAGGAAGTCAAATAAGCACTGGTTCCAACCAAGGTGTGCAGAAGACCATCTCTGAAGCAACAACCTTGAAGCAGATGGGCTACAGCAGCAGAAGACCACACCAGGTGCCACTCCTGTCAGCTAACAACAGGAAACTGAGGCTACAATTCACACGGGTTTTCTCACCAAAACTGGACAATAGAAGATTGGAAAAACCACATTGAGATGGAAGCATGGATCCATCCTGCCTTGTATCAACGCTTCAGGCTGCTGCTGGTGGTGGTGTAATGGTGTGGGGGAGATTTTCTTAGTACCAACTGAGCATGGTTTAAACACCACAGCCTACCTGAGTATTGTTCGGTATTCGATCAATGACTTTACAACGAGCACCTGAACGCACCGCTCCTGTAGTCGAGCTGGTCTTGGATCAGGATCAAGACTCGTGGAAACATATTTAAAAACTTTATTAGAAACAGAGAGCTGTTTATTGTCACACAGTTCCAACATGGCTTCTCTTTTCAGGAGGAAGTGTGTGTGTGTGTGTGTATTTACAGTCGTCGCTCTCGAACCGCCGCTAACAAAACACCACATAGAAAAAAACAACAGAGGAGGAGTTCATAATACAAACAGTCTTCTCTTAAAAAATATTATAAATCATTCTTTACAGGCGTGTAAAACGTACTTTTCAAATACATGGTGTGTTTTATTCTTTTCTTTACTCCGAGCTTTTATGTACAAACACAGAAATGTTGAGGAAACAGCCGTCTGTCAGACAGAAACCACAGAAGAAGAGTCGGGGAGTGCAGCAGAGGTTCTCCAGGAGCAACATCAGTGCTAATTGTACGGAAGATCAAAGCTGCCAGAAGAAAAATAAACCGATGAAATATGAAGGATACTCGTGGTATGAATCATGACCACGAGTCATAAATATTAACGAGTCAGAATCGAGATATGAGGCCACATTACAGACGTTTTTCTAAAAATTAAATTCAAAATCACTTGAGGTCAGAATACTGACACAAAGTCAAACTTTTAAGTCAAAAGTAAATATCAAAGTCTCAATTTTAATTAACGAAAGGAACATTTTGAGATAATAAATTTACTTTTTTTTTAATTAATGAACTTTCAAGTCAGAATTTTGAGATAAAAAGTCACATTATTTTAATTTTGATTTAGTCAATTGAAAATTAGTAGAAGTTTCATTTTTTCAATTGAAATTTTTTAGATTAAAACGGCATTTTAAGACTTTCTGAGTCAAAGTGAACGAATTGTGATTCAAATCCAGATTTACCCAGTTCAAACAATGAGATCTGATCATAACTTCAATTTCCTCAATCAAAATCATGAGGTATGGAGGTTACATTTACTAAGTTTACACCAAAAATTTTAAGACTTTTTAAATCAAAATCATGCCATTTTTATTATGAGTATTTTTCATTTAATTATTTTATAATCTCTAAATGAGTTTTCTATACTCAGTTTATTTTCCTGGCAGTAATGATCTTCCATACGACCAACACACATTAGAAAACTGAATAAATAAGATTTATTTTAATTATTTTACACAAAAATAACAACAAAAAAAAAAACAAAAAAAAAACCTGTCTCTACAAATATTTAATTTTCTCTCCGGCTGTGACATCAGAAACTTTTTGAACATTTTTTTGTTTGTTTTTACCAAAATAAAAGCTCTGATTCCGTATAAAAAAGACCAAAAACATTCACAGCAGAAGTCAGGAAACTTTTTTTTTTTTTTTAATCTTTTCTTGTTTTCTTAAAAAACACTGAGTTAACAAGAAAAGAAAAAGAAAAGAAAGATTGCATAATGAGCTTCAGGAATCTGTTTCCTGTTTGAACTTAAAGAAAATTAAACCAGAGAAAATTACCTCTCACTTTATTTTGAAATTAGGAGATGCACTGACGCACTGGAGGAAGGGAAGAAGGGTGGAAGGAGGGAAGAAAGGAACGAAAGTGTTCTGTGGCAGCTGAACAGACGGCTGATTTTTCTGTCTCCTTTCTCTCCTCAAACAGGAAGTCAGTCCACAAGTGAGGGGCGGGGCTAATGTCAGGTGGTAGTCCCCTATCCCCCTCCCCCCTCTGACCTGGAGGGATTTTGTTTTTTTCCCATCATGCCCTCAGAGCTGGCTGAGTGGGCGGAGTCTGTGGTTGGAAGGGCTGTGGCTGATGATGTGGGCGTGTCACTGGTGGGCGTGTCATCACCTGCACTCCACAGCAACGGTGTTCTGAGTCGGGGAGGCCGAGGACGGACTCATACCTGTGTCTGAGGAGCCCGACGACGTGGACGCCGTTGTGTTGGACACTGAGGGGACAAAAAAATAATAATCAACTGACAGGAAACAGTCAAGTATGTGATGGACTGCATTTCCCAGCATGCCCTGTGCCTCCTACCTTCTCTCTCCTTCTTCTTCAGTCTCTTCCTCCGTCTGTCGATGGACGCCACCTCCGACTTCAGGGTCATGTAGTACTTCCTGATCTCCTGCAGCTTCTCCTGCAGGAAGGAGATCCTCTCTGTGCTCGACATGCTGTCCAGCTCATCTGAGGAGGAGGAGGAGGAGGAGGAGGAGGAGGAGGAGGAGGGAGACCAGTTATTATACCAACTAGATTAGTAGTGCTATAAATATAAGAAGTAAAAAAACATTAACATTTCATCTGTTTACTTGGTTCACATCATAATACAAATACACAGAGCCTTCATCAGAGCTGCTGATGATGATGATAGAGATGTTTTTATATTTTGTCCTCCAGGACTTGGAAATTTGGAATGTGCTCCTAACGTTAGTAGGATAAATATTCGAAATACTGTCAGCATACCGATCTGGAAGGTCCACTTGTACGTCCTCTGAGGGGAGAAGTTGTGTTTGTCTTTACTGTGAGACGACGGAGATGAGAGACCTGGACAACGAGACTTGTGAGACTTTTGAGACAGAGACAGACGAGACTGGTCCTCACTGTCACTGCTGTGACCTGGGGGAGGACAGAGGGGGAAGGAAAGGAAGTTATTGAAAATAAAAATTAGTATTAAAACAACAAAATTAACATCACTTGAAATAAAAATCAATCTTTGGTCGTCAACTTGTTTAATCTTTAAGGGTGCTTCACACCTGCCCTGCTTGGTTCAGTTCAGTCGAATTTAAGTTTGTTTGCCCCCTCAGTGCGGTTCGTTTATATTTATGCAACTTTGGAACAACATGAGTCCCTGATTCAGACCAAAGGAGACGACTCTAGGGCTGAAAACACCCTTTAACAACATTCTGGAGATGTCCGATGACCATGTGATGTAAAGGAAAGCTCCAGAACCAAGAATGTTAACAAGACGAGAAGTCACAGTGTCATATCATTGGGTTAACACACATACAGTGAAATCTACTCTGCACTTGCTGAAAGGCTCAATAGCTGGCGTACGATCATAGAAGAGGGGTCTGCAGTCGGCCTCGAGTCTGCAAGTGCTGGGAAGTGCAGACGTTTAGATTCAGCCAGAGTTCTGACAGGCCGAGGGCACCCAAAAGGCACCTGAGTGGACACCATCCTTTCATTTCTGGTGCCATCTGCTGTAACCCTCCAACATTGCAGCCCCAGTTACATTAAACATGTGTCATATCACATAGCTTCTGTGGGGTCAAAGAGTGTGTCCCCGCCTTCTTTGAATAGCCTTGTTCAGAACC